CTAGACTTTTCACATATGCCACAGATTGAAGAAATGGCGAGGGTTCCAATGAAGATGAAGGAAGATTTGGTACCTTCGAGAAAGAAATATGTTTGGTGTTCTTCTTTCACCTATTTTTTTCTTACCTTAGTTCTAGGCATGTTCATTGGTAAGTTGCTTAGTTCACCGCAGTAGTTTCAAGTATCAATTGATGTGTCGGACAGAATTATGTCACTTTTATACAACTATTGTTGAACTAAATGCAATGTGATTAAGCTGATGTTGAATCAAACACATGAGAGGCATCCTAGCTCCCTAGAAACTAGGTCCTACTATAGGAGCAAACAATTTATTGAACTCTATATAGATTCCCATGGTGCTATCACACCTCCCTCCCATCCATTCCCCTCTTTGCTCCCTTTCTCTGCTTCACCCTGCTACCAACGGACAAAAGGGAGCCTCTCTCATGCTCTCTGCTACATCACCTCCAACCTCAGCGATGCACAAATCTTTAGTGCACGATCAACACTTCTCTGCTTCTCCCAGATCTATGGTACCTTCACTTGATTCCTTCTTGCTTTGTACCGAATTGGACCTTTTTCTGATGGAGCTAAACTCAGCTACAACGTTGTTATTCCTTCTGCAGATGAAAATACATCTTCTTGTTTTTGAGTTTTTGGCCTTTTATCTTCATGGAGTACAACTTGTGAGCCTTATTGTCCTCGGTATTGCTTCTCCAAATCATTGCTTTGTGGACAAAGACGATGAGCAAGATGAAAGTGTAACAATGGATGTGGACAGGATAGTAGTGGTGAATGCTCGGGATGACATGGAGATTCACAATGATCCCATGGAGGTTAACCAGGATCTGCTGGATCTTATGGAGATTAATTAATTATGGAACTGCTGATGTACATATCATGACCTTTTAGCTTTTGCGTAGTGTTGGCCTAATTATTATGTTTCGACCAAATTAGTATGTGCATTATAGCTTTAGGCATGCTTGTTAGCTTGGTCTTGTCGCCCTACTTGGTAGCGATGAATTTATGGAACTCAAGTCGGCTTGCTTTGAATCTGAGTAAGGGCATTATGCTTTTCTAAGTGTGTAGTTTGTCTTTCTTTCAATCGGAATACATGCTAAACATTCTGCTTGGCTTATTGTTGAACACCGAATGATACGGCCATATTCTGGCGTAAACATCTTCGTTGGACCCAATCTCCACCAACGGTATGTATTGCATTATAGCCACCGCTTCCAACTAGCTGTGATGGTACCGCGCGTATCGCTTTGTTCTAAAATTTGCAATCCCACGTGGAAGCCCTCCCACATGGAATTAGAAAATTTTGATAACATTTTTCATTCCCACAGCCCGTAAAAAGTTACATGGCAAGCCAGTCCCCCAACCCTTTCTTGTCCTCTTTGGTGTTGTCCCTCACCTCTGTACCTGGTCAGCACTACTCAATGATGACATCGGCGGGACAGATTTTGCTCCACACGGGTGCACCTTACCAGCCTACCCACATAGGTCCACTAACGACCGAGCTACTACTATCACGACATGGCTACTCATGCTTACTGCCACTAGATCCAAAGGCAAGGTCAATAATTCTTTACTTCCATTGTCGGTCGTTCTCCTCAAAACTCTTGTACTTACTAATGTTGGTTGATACAATTGCATGGCAGGGCGGCCTCATCTCTTCGACAAGTGGTGTCCTAGATCTTCCAGATGGAGGAGGCCCCAACAAGAGGAACACAGTGGGTAGTTTCACAGATGATGTGCTTGTCCAGATCCTCCGCTGCCTCCCAGACCAATCCTTATGCTGCTATAAGTTTGTATGTCGCTCCTAGAAGCGCGTCATCTCTGACTCCGACCACCGTAAGGAGTTTTCCTAGACTATTGTCAGCTTCTTTTATGGCAACTGGTGGAATGGCACCCCACTTCACCAGCATCACCGGTGAACGGCCCTCCTTATCCTTATTGCCCTTCCCCCTTGACAAAATGCTGGTCATAGATTGTTGTAGCAGCCTCATCCTCTACTGGTGTGCTAGGTCTGATGGATTATGTCGCTATGTTGTCTATAATCCAACAACATAGAAGTGGCTTGAACTGCCGTGTAGCATCCATTCTATTGGTGAGGCTTGCTTTGGTTTTGATCTGACAATGTTCTCGCACTTTTATGTGATTGAACTTGTGAAGGAGGAGGGTGCATGTGTAGGTGTGGAGATCTACTCATCTAAAACTACAACATGGATCTTTAAGGAATCTGAATGGGGCGAGGGTATTGTACAACGTTCAAAATGGAGAAGTATTTTTCTTAATGGTTTTATGCACATGCTTGTGTACTTTGTGGTAGTGGCTGTGGATATGGATGGAAAGACATGGAGGGCAACTCCTAAACCACATGGTGTTGAAATGTACTTCCATGAAGCTCATGGTCACTGGTGTTTGTGTTGTGCTGATATTCACAATATGTCCTAGCTTTCAGTGTGGATACTTGAAGACTATGGTACTAATAAATGGAGATTGAAGCATGTTTTGAGCACGCATGAGCCATTTGGACAGAATAATATTGAAGTTGGTTCTGAGCTTTGTGATGCGGACTATAGAGTGATTACAATTCACCTAGAATGGAATTTCATTTTCTTTGTTGGAGGGGAAAAACACTAATTATATATGACATGGACCGTCGAAAGGTTCATGTCATCAATGCCTGTGTCATCCGCTATCATAGATCAAGAGGGCGTCTGCATATGAACATGACTTACTATCTTCCTTATGTTCTCTTGTTCTTGGATTCATTAGCACATGCTTGAGTGCATTTGCTATATTTACGACATGTCTTTGTTCATGGTCATTGGCTTCTAATCTGAAGGATGCACTAATTATATTTATTTTGCCATGCAAGCAGGAATGCCACATAGAAGGAGAACAACTACGTCAATTTCGTTATGTAAGTGTGTACAAATCAGTACCTTTATTATGCAATTTATGTACCGCTTGTGTTAAGACATCTCAGTTCACAAAGTTATTATATTAGCGTCCATTGTTATTGTAAAAAGTACTCTTATTTCTGGACGTGGTGTGTGGATGTAATGATTAGACCTGTATGTTGTGTGTTCAGTAAGCTATTAAAGCTCAGCTGAATTAGTATCATATTATGAAAACTTGATGCAATTCTGTCAGCATCGGATATAAGCGTAGTTGATTGTTTTGCCGTCACTGCCGCCACATACCACTCGGCGTTGGTGAAGCAAACGTCCAACACCGCCGCTAAACGTATGATGTGGCAGGGATCAAAAGTGTATCACCCCTAAATCGTTTAGTAACTCGACACTGACTATAGGATCATCGAAGGTGGATCGTACTGCAAGGCAACGATGACCATGACCTTTGAATAGATGGTTCATACACCCAAGCGAGGGTGATGCTCACCTCAACACAGACGTGTCGACTGTCAAAGCGATGGTGAACCCTGCCTCACTCACATAGTTGGGTCGTTGTGTAAAGCGACGATGATGATGACCAGCACACAAGCGGTTACGCCCAAGCGACGGTGATATTCATCTCGACATAGATGCATTGGATGTCAAAACGACGGTGACCCCGCACTGCACATAGTCGGGTTGTGGTGCAAGGCGACGGTGATCATGACCAGTACACAGGCGGTTCATTGACCAATGCGGCGGTGTTTAGTGTCTGTCACAGTTGGTTGTGAACCGACAGTGAGGACCTAGACTATCACCGTCGACTATTTACTACCGAGGCCGAAATCCGGCTATGATGGAGGGTTACGAACCGACTGTGATAGGTCTACTGCAGTAGTGGCTCCTCTAGCCAACCATGCACTACACCGCCCCTCAGCCGGCCCCACGCTCACCCCCAACCCAGCCGGCCCTCCTGCAGAAGAGGAAGAAGAAGCTATGCATTTTTTCTTTTTTTACCCTAACGCGTGGGCCTAGATTGGTAGTGAGATAGAGAGGGAGGTGAAGCTGTACCAAATACTTCTGTGAATCCTAGATCCACGGTGGAGCTGCTCCACGGTGGACTCAGGTGAATCCCATATTCAAATTTACTTTTTTGTACTGATGGAGCTCTACCAAACAAGACCTTAGCAACACTCGTGGATGGATGAGAATAGGAGTGATGGGTGTGAAAGGAATCCGTTGGATAAGATAAATTATAAGAAAGGCATGTAAGTAGGCTATATGCTAGGTGGAGGAGAGAGGAGAGGAGATAGGAGAGAAGCAGGTTGTAAACTTACAGTCGGCTTAGATACAAGAATCAAAAAACTTTGTGAGAGTGACAAGTAAGTCATGTATAAATAGTGAAGGGTTAACTACTATGGCTCTGTTCGCTATACTAAAAGGCCATGGCTGAAAGTACTGTTCGTTGATTTGTTGTTAGAGAAAAATATTGTTTGTTCGCTGAAATAGTACGGCTTATAAGACAAGTGAACATAGCCTATATTTAAGTGGGCTGAGAGATGAACAGTAAAGATCTATACAGCCAGTATATAAGTGGGCCGAGAGATCAGTGGTAAAGATCTATCCAGTCAATAGTAAGCTATATTATTAGCCTTGCCCTAAGAAGGGATATGGTTATTTGATGGAGGTATTTCGGTAAATTGATCAGCTATTAATTGATGTTAGCCAGGATTGCCGGCCGATAAGATCATTGTTAGGTAGGTGCTCAGCTAACAATTGGCTGCCACATTAACCTTGCTTGTATTTAGATCTACTCCAAAAAAAATTTAGCTATATATGTTAATTACATGGATCCAGCCAGGCTTTTAGAAGCACATTGGAGGGCCCACCGCTCTTTTGACCATACAGTAAGTATAATAGAGCAACACGACAAGAAAAAAAGATCATCTACGCCTGTAGGGCTGCAGGTTGTTAGGAGCATAAATAGCTGGACACGCCGGCTGGCCACCTCACTAGAGCCAAGAAGACGATTTCCTGTCCCTGAAAGAAAAGAAAAAAAAGGCATCAGGGGGAGAATCAGGACGAAGACGACGCCATGACGAACGGGAACGGCGGCGCCGGCGGCACCCGTGGGAAGGCCATCAAATGCAAAGGTGTTGTTGCCTGCGGCTTCTCTTTTTCATTTCCGCTCTTTTGCATCGACGGCGGCGCGGCTCGGTCGGCATGCGTAGTTGAGTTTTGGTCGTGATGCAGCGGCGGTGGCGTGGGGTCCCGGAGTGCTGCTGTCGCTGGAGGAGGTGGAGGTGGCGCCGCCTGGGCCTCTGGAGGTCCGCGTCAAGGTGCTCTTCACCTCCATCTGCCACACCGACCTCAGCGCCTGGAAGGGAGAGGTACATTATTCATTCTTCCATGTTCTTGGATTGGGATTTGATTTCTTTACTTTATCCCTCGACTAACCTATGTATTTCTTATTTATATGTGCTGCCATGTGACGACGGTGCTGTCTGTCTGCCTGTTAATCTGTTATGGATGTCACAGAACGAGGTGCACCGCAAGTACCCTCGCATCTTGGGCCATGAGGCAGCCGGATGCGTAATTTTAATCCTCTTCTCCACTCATGCTCTTCGGTTTTTTTTTTTTGGCTCTTTAGCCGCCCCCTCTCCGTCCACACATGACGTGAGTTCAGAAACTGAGCTTTGCCGGAGTTTTGAGTCCTACAGTTGACTTCGGTGCCCATGTATTTCTTGTGAACACTTTACCGTCCAAAATTTTTATAGACGGGAGCATTTAAAAGGAGTTAATAGTGCATCTATCTACTGAATGCCGTTACGTTTACTTCCTGGATTGTATGTCGGGGCTTGGTCTTGAATTTTAGCTTTCAAGGGTGAAAATATAAATTCACGTGTCTTCCAGGGTTGTTTTGTTTCAATTTTCCAGTCTAATTTGGGGTTTTGGAGAAATAAGGTGCCATGAATTCTTGACTTCCTACCACGAATTTGCGGGTCCAATGGTCGTCAGCGCCCGCATGCACACGCCACTTCGACATGTGTGTGCCTGGCAGATTTGCACATAAATGAGCGAGCAAGCTTTGACCTTATCACAGTTAGCCCGTGCTTAGTTGGGTGAAAGTTGCAAATTTGGCTACTGTAGCACTTTCGTTTTAATTTGATAATTAGTGTTCAATCATGGATTAATTAGGCTTAAAACGTTCATCTCGCAATTTCCAACAAAACTGTGCAATTAGTTTTTTTTCGTCTACATTTAATGCTCCATGCACGTATCGCAAGATTCGATGTGATGGCTACTGTACCACTTTTTGGGAAAAGTTTTCGCGAACTAAACAAGGGCTTATGGTAGTAGGAGTATTAGCTTATTCAACTGTTTTAGCAAAGGTTCTGCTAACAAGTTTAACTTTTCTGCATATTTTTGAAGAAAATGTTTTAACAATGGTCTTTTCTCAGAAAATTGAGTTCTTTGGGAACTCCGGTCTTGGACTACAAATCTTGCAACTAATTTGTAGTTAATATGAAGAGATTCTTTCATTGCCTCGCCTTTTAATTTGTGCACAACTCACAAGCTCTCTATGTCCCTAACTAAATCAATTCCTAGATTTATTGAAAAAGCGTCAAGATTTATGACACTAAATTTAATTTGTATCATTAGGAACACTATGTCTTCATTAGGTGTCATAAACACCGTTGTCCTTTTTAATAAATTTAATCAAATATAAAAAAATTAACTTAAAACAATTTTAGTATTTAATTTATTTAGGAATAGGGGTAATATATTCAGTAAAAACAGAAAATATTAGGGCGTTCCTAATAATTCTCAAATAGCTAGTCTTGAAAGAATTGTTTTGGTTATCAGGGAGAGAGATCAAATAGCTAGTCTAGCACGATCTCATAGAAACAACTCTCTCACGGCTTAAATAACTCTCCACTATAGTGTTCCTTTTTTATTATTTCTAAGTCCAATCTAGCTAGCTATTTAAAAGTTGTCATTGAGGATGCCCTCAGCGACAAGCTAAGAAAGATCTACCTTGTTTTTAATAGTGTCTGGATCATGGATGGATCGATCTATGCAATGCGAATAGGCTAACCACCGATTGCATAGAGAGCTAATAATTTATTCGCAATCAATTGGGTGTTGGCAGATGGAGAGGACCAACGCCAACGCCAGCTCCCACACATGCTTGCCATTGGGCTTCGGGATGGTCTCCATGAAAGGGAGATCTGTCCCTCTGGCTCTTGGTTTGCCATGTTAGATTGATCTCTAACCTAACTGGACCCAACGGCCCAGTTGGGCCTTTGATTCGTGCCCTGATCGGGGACACCCAACCCACTATGGCTGGAGGGCCCCTGTCACCCTGCGCTATAAAAAGATGTGGGGGCCAGCGGCTCATATCACGAGGTTGACCAGAGCCGACCTCCCCACCGACAAACCCTAAACCCGATCTAAGTGAGGGGCGCAGCCAGTGACGGGAAGTGCCTCCATCGCTGCACTGTGCACCGTCGATCTTCACCGCCGGCACCGCATCTCCGACCGATCTTCACCAACCGTCGTTGCCCGTGCGCAGACATCACCAACGAACCCGATGGCGGCCACCGAACCCTCCCCCTCCTCGGTGTCAGGTTCAGCACCATCTCCCTGTCTCTCTCTAGTTCGTTCTACATGTATTAGGATCTATTGCTTCACCTTTTATACCGAGTAGGACAAGTCTATGGCTAAATCTATGATCCTACAGTTTCAACAATGGTACCAGAGCCACGTTTAGGTATAGGTCTAGCTTAAGATAGTTAGATCCAGTGCGGCTCTAACAAGAAGAGGGTTTTGTTGAACCCTAACCCTAACTGGATTAAGCAAATGAGAAAAGAAGAGGGTTCGGTTGAACCCTAACCCTAACTGGGTTAAAGAAAGAAGAAGGAGGGCTCGGTTTCACATCTATGCCGAACCCTAAAACCGCAGTCCCTCTGGGGAAGATAAACAGTGCTTCTCCCGTAACCCTAACCCTAATCGGGTTTATCCCAAAAGATCCAAAGAAGGGGAAAAGGGGAAGAGGGAGACCCAGAGGGCTTACCTCGCCGTCGTAAAGACCGACGCGTGGGGAAAAGAACGCCGAGTCGGGGCGCTGCTCGCCGGGCTCCGGCCAAAGAGGCGCCGTGGCTAGGCCGCTCGACGGCGGCGCGCTCACCCACTGGGGAGCGCGCACGCCGGCGAGGGGACCGGCGACGGTGTCATGGCTCCTACTCCACCGTCGTTGCTCTCGGCCTCTCACTTGGTGGCTGGCTCCTGCTACGCTGAGGAAAGAAAGAAGAGAGAGGCGAAGGGAGAGGGAGGAAAGAGCCGAATGGCCTCTAGGGTTTCCTCGGGGGCGCGCAGCATCGACGTTTTATCCGAGCAAAATGCGCGCTCGGCCGTCGGATCTGGATGGATGGCTGAGATCTAACGGGCCAACTCATGGCCCAGGCGGGCGCGCGCGGCCGAATCACTTTGCCGGCCCAGGCCCAGGTTGCTGCCTGGGTGCGGCCGGGAGCCGCGTAGAAGTGTGGGCCAAGCCGGTTTTTTGCCAGTTTTGGGCCGAAATAGTAAAGAATGAGCCTGGTTTCACATTTTTCTTTTTCCAGAAAATTAAAAAATGGAAATTGGCTCAAAAGAAAATAGAAAAAGTATTTTTCCCTATGGGTAAAATTCATCAAATTGAATGATTTTTCGCTGTGTATTTAAAGATGTAATTTTCATTATTAAATTCGAACCAACAGGAGAATTTAATTTTGAAAATGGATATGTTTTAATTGATTATAATATTGTTATTATTCTGACCAACGTTGATTAATGGCAATATTATTATGATGTTTTGCCATGCATTAATTCTATTTCTGCCCAACGATGATATAGAATTAGTGTAGAGAACAATTGTATGTTTTAATTTTAACCAACGTTGGAAATAAGGCATGCAATTGTTATTGTTATTATTTATGTTCTCACACTATTTGAATTGTGTTTTCAGACGGATACAACTTGATGAGTTGTATCAAAGAGATCCCCTCTCTAAAAGGTGATAACTACATTGAGTGGAAGAAAAAGATCAACCTGGCTTTCATCCTTGCTGAGGTGGACTGGGTAGTCACCACACCATATCCCACAGAGCCTGTGGCACCGGTGAGGGAAACAAACGAGACTGATGCCGCTTGGGCAACCAGAGAGAGGGATTTTGCATCCCAAAGAATGCCCTATGACCTTGAGCATAGGAAATGGGTCACTACCAACAAGAAGTGTTTGGCTGTGATAAAGAACACGATTGAGCCTGTAATTGTGGGCTCAATCCTAGAGTGTGACACCGTCACTGAGTATCTCGAAAGAATAAAGAGTCAGTTCACTGGCTCTTTAAAGATATATGCTACCCAGCTGATAAAGCAGCTGGTAACAGAGAGATACTCAGGCAATGGTGGCATAAGAGAGCACATACTAAGGATGAGCCATTTGGCATCCAAGCTAAAACCAATGGATCTGGCTCTCAAGGATGAGTTCCTTATCCATCTGGTTTTTGCTTCCTTGCCAAAAGAGTTTGACACTTTTGTTGTCAACTATAACATACAGCCCGAAAAGTGGGACATGGAGAGGCTCATGGCTATGTGTGTGCAAGAGGAGGAGAGAATGAAAGCTGCCAATGGTGGCACTATCAATTATCTAAAAGACAACAAGAAACAGAATAATAATGCCAACTTCTCCTCAAAGTCAAAGGAAAGGGCCCCATGCTGCATAAGCCTTAGCAGAATCAGTTCACAGTAGAGAAAGACCAATGTCTCTATTACAAGAAGACGGGACATTATAAGAAAAATTGTCCCGGTTACTTAAAGATGATCATGGCAAAGAAAGGTGAGAACATTATTACGTTCATAAATGAATCCCTGTATGTACAGTATTCAAAATCTACTTGGTGGATTCACTCAGGTGCAACTGTTCATGTTGCTAATTCTTTACAGGGATTCCGTTCGACGAGGACTACGGAAAGAAGCGAAAGACATGTTAAAGTCGCAAATGGAGTCCGAGCAGAAGTTGAAGCCATTGGCGATCTTTCTCTAGAGCTTGCTGATGGTTTCAAACTTATACTTAGAGATGTTTTTTATGTTCCCTTGTTACAGAGAAACTTAATAAGTGTTTCATGTTTGGACAATGATGGATATGATTGCTATTTTGAAAATGGCAAATGTAAGATAACATTTAATGATGCATGTGTTGGTCTTGCTATCTTACAAAATGAGCTTTATTTGTTATCACTACATGATGATGTGAATGTTGTATGTGATGATGGGAACGTTGCGTGCGACAATGTGAATGTATCCTCGTCTGCGGATGTAAACAGAAAACGAAAGAGAGCTTACGATGCGTTGTCGAAATTATGGCACTGTCGTTTAGGCCATATTTCGAGGGGGAGAATAGAAAGACTAGTTAAGAATGATATTCTTCCTCCATTAGAGCTCTCAGATTTAGAACAATGTAGAGATTGTATAAAAGGAAAGTATGTAAAGAAAATTAAGAAAGATGCCAAACAAAGCGCAGGAATTCTACAGATTATTCACACAGACATCTGTGGTCCCTTTCCTGTAAAGAGTGTGGATGGTTTTGATTCATTCATAACATTCACAGATGATTACTCCCGTTATGGCTATATTTATTCAATCAAAGAAAGAACAGAAGCATTGGATAAATTTAAGATATTTAAG